CGGGTCCAGGACAATGGGTTGTTTTGAGAGAGAGACTACATTCACCTAACTTTTATTACAGTCTGTTGTTATAATAGTTCAATTTTATTATTGTTGTTGCCAAGTTCTTATTGTGCCTAATTTGTAAATTAAACTTTATCATAGATAGGCATGTATAGGAAACATGACGTATGTATGCCGTTAGGTACCATCTGTGGTTTCAGGCACCTACTGGGGGTCTTGTAACATATCCTCGGTGGGTAAGGGGGGACAATTGTCAACAGGACGCAATTTTTTTTTTGGCCAATTGTCCCTCCAAAACTTATTTAGGGTAAAGTTGTCCTGCAATCCCTGGATGGCAAAGATAAATGTCTTAAGACTTTTGTTTATTCTTAGTTTTAAAACATCTGTTACTTTTAATGTCAGTTGTACCACATGAAATTGCTGTAGGTATGGGTCAAAAATGATTGACTAGCAACAAGTTCATATGGTGCCCCCTAAACTCAAACAAAGCTAACAAGACAAGCGATTAGTGCTGATTTATACCAAGTCTTTCCTGACAGGAGGTGAGGAGACTGTCCCTATGCAGAGGTGCCGCTGGCTGCTCTCCCTGCTGGCGGCCGGCGGCCGTTTCTGACCTGCAGCTCGGGAGCGGGCACGGGCCTTCCTACCCGCCCAGCCTTCTCTGATGAAGGACCCGTGCTGGCAGGCATGTGCGGCTTCCCTCTGTGTTCCTGGGGGACCCCTTCGCCTGCATCCTTGCCTGGGTGACTGTATTTCACCCCTGCAGCCCCGAGGCATCGAGCTCTCCTCTGCTTCCCCCTCACCCTGCAGGAGGGTCGAGGGACAGGACCTCACGTGGCCCCGCGATGACCCGTGGGTTGGTCCCAGCACGGTCACCCCTATTTTGACTTGCCTGCCAGCCGCTGGGCATGGCAGCCTCGCCTGGAGGTGGTTCAGCCGGAGCCAGATGCTGGTCGCTGTGTGTTCCAGCTCCAGGGCACGCCTGCCCAGCTTGCTGCACGCCCCCATGGGTGCCTTTCCCCCTGGGCGCTTTCTACTAAGAGAGCCGCCTCACAAACCCCATCAACCCCACCCCTCAGGCCTGTACACCCCGCACACGAGTGAGGAGGCCGAGGGTCCTGGTTCCAGCCCTGCACTTCCTGTCTCTGCAGCTCCTCGGAGTCTCTCGCGACTCCCAGGGCCTGTCCGCCCCGTCCGGGTGCGGCGGGGGGCGGGGCGGGGTGCGGTGCGCGTGGCGGGTTACAGGGAGGAGAAACTCCAGAAGCCGCTCTGCCAGTCCCAGGGCAGAACTGGTGCTTTAATTGAAAACAACACACACACACACACACCCCTTATCTAAATTACATTAACAACTAGTCAGAAAAAAAGTGGTTAAAACAAATTGTCTGTTTTTGGAGAGTGTTACCATAAGACCACACGAAAGATAAGCATACTTTTGAGTACATTCTTCTTTGGAGAGGAAGCACCTTTCTAAATTTTCTATGAATGAATTTCTTTTCTGAATCCGCTGAAGGAAGACCAAACTTTAAAGATGCAATTGTTTTACTTAACACTCTATTAAATACAGTCTAGCAAAGGCAAAGGCCTAATAAATATGTCTTTCCAGTCTCTTGTTTAGGGAATTATTTATGAGATTTGTCATTAATAGAACTTAAGCCAAAATAGAAAAAGATTAGAAAACACTGAAGAATAAATACTAAAGCCTAAAGTACGTATTTAAAAGAACATGGAAATGCCAATTATAGATATAAAAATGCCAGCTGTAGAAATGTCTCATTAAATGTCCACTCGTCAGAGAAAAACACAAAAAAAGTGTTCATTATGACCTGCATACTTATTATGTAAGTAGCCACCGAGAACCTGCTGTGTCCCGGCTAGGCCCTGGGCAGGCCACCAGCAGGACAGAACGTGACGTTACATCTTTGCTGCTGAGGCGCCTGCAATCTGAAGGAGGCAGCAAACACACACACACACACACACACACACACACACACCAATATAATAACAATACTTTAGGCCGGTGTTTCTCCAACTGTAGCCTGTTTAAGAGTTAGCTGGATGGCCCCGCTGGCCACCCTCAGAGACCCCTGTCCTCAAGCATGGGGACAGTCCCAGCACCTCGGGGATTCTGTGGCAGGAGCCTGTGAGCCGCAGCCAGAGGGGGCCTGTGCTTCTCCCCACCCGTCCAAGCCCGGCCCAGCGCCTGGACGTGCTAAACCCTCAGGAAACCCTGAGGAAGCGACCAATGAGGAGGGCCAAGCTCCACATGAAGGACACAAGCAGAATGTGACGTAGCAGCTCCTCGCTCTTCAAGGGGCAGGCTCCCTGGGTGTGCTCTGCACATACCACAGATAGCCATGCACAGAGCTGCACTCCAGAATCTTCCTCTCGCACTGAGGGCAGGAGACCTGACTCTGTGCCTCACGTCACAGTAAGGCCGCGTCGCTCCCATTCACGGGTGGCACCAGACCCCAGGCTATGCCCGCGTCCTCTGAATAAAGTCATTGTTCCCTCTAAGGAAGACAGGACTCCACGGAGCCCACCCTGGCGGGCGGCATGCCTGGTGGGGGGGGGGGTGTGGTACGGGGAGAATAGCCCCTCTATTAGTCTCCCTGCAGAAATGTCACGTTCATTATGGTTCTGAGGGTTAGAAGTACGAAAAGCGCAGCAGAATGGGTTGAGCACATAAGCAATCGTTTGTTATTTACTGCTTTCCTTGGCGGGGCTGCCGTGCCGCATCCCCACCGAAGGGGGGACTGGAACGTTATGTCTTGTCGATTTTCTCCCTGAAGTCGTGTAGCAACTTCACACGTTGCAGCTGTGCTCATTTCCATAAAGAGCTGAACATAAATTAATTTTTATAGTAAAACACATAAATGAGTTTAAAAGCAAAATCATATGTTCAGCTGCCAGTAACATATTGGACGTTTAAAAACGTCCTGAGACTATTATGAGCTCTGGAAAGGGGCGATCGGCCAGGAAGGCGGGACAGAGTGGACAAAGCAGGAGGGAGGGAGGAGGGCGCGTCGCGGGACGCGGCGGCAGCGGGCAGAGCCGAGGCCCCGGCCTGATCCCCGAGGTGTCCGTGCAGGGGACAGAGCACCTGGGGCTTGCGGCTGAGGGCAGACCGTCATGGCAGGAAGGCAAGGGCTGGAGACCCGCACTTCCAGGCCGTCAGCGGGGCCCCGCCCGGCCCTCCTCCGGGGCAGGGCTCTCAGAAGGGCGCGGGCACTGGCTGCAGTCAGCGAGCCATGTGTGCTGGTCTGCGGTCAGCAGCAAGGAGCCTTGAACAAGTCACTTAGTCTCTCGTGTCCCCCCCATAAACTGAGGTTCTTGGCTACATGACCCCTAAGATTTCTTCTGGCTTAATTGCGTGGCTCCATAAAGTCTTACTGACCCAGGAGGGAAAGGATGGGGACGGGAGGGCACAGGAAGGGAGAGAGGTCCGCAGGAGGGAAAACGAAGGGCCCCTGAGGGGGGGGGGGGGGGGGGGAGGCGGGCGCGGGCGCAGTTCACAGTTCCGGAGTGGCCTTTTAAAGGATGCCAGTCACCTGGCACCTGGGGCAAGCAGAGCTTATGAGCCTCTCCAAACCTCGGGGGCCTCCCTGCGGACGACCAGATGCAGAGGAGAAGCCGCGTCCAGGAAAATGTACCCCCTGCGATACAAGGAAGTCCCTGTTCTCCGAGCAGCTTCACACTGATTTCAAGGTCTCCCCGCGCTGCAGGGCAGCACACTCCCGCTGCGCCCAGCCCTCCCGCGAGACCTTGCAGCCTGGGGCACAGCCCTGCGACACTGCCCTTGGAAGGGGAGCCTGACTCGCAACCTTGCTAGCTTTTTTGGAAAAATGTGGGTTTCATAGACATGTTTGTATATATATTTATAGGGATACATTCACCCGTATATATGTGCATTTTATGCATGTATGTATATGTATATGCACTTATATGCACACGTGTATGTACATGAGTGCTTTTACTTCCCCTTTGGAATGTGGGTGTGATGAACGTCGTAGGGGCCAGACCGCTTTTGCGGTGCCTCAGGAGTGTCCCTAACAGCGGAGCTGCCGGAGGGCAGGAGAGCCCCGCCCTGCCGTCCTGTGGTCCCCAAACCAGGCAATGGCAATGCTGACTCTCAGTCTAGCACTAGTTCCTACGCCCAAGGCACTGACCTCACTTTGACATTGAATTTGCCTGGTAGCCCTGTGTCTTCGCTAGTAAGCCACGGGACCCTATACATTTAATAAAAATTAGATTAGTTAAACCCAAACTCAGTGTCTAACGTGGAAGAGGCACACGAGAAGTTCCACTTCATTTAGTGGCCATACAGGGACTGTGTTTAGAGACAGACACCATGGGGTGAAAAAAAAAGACAAAAAAAAAAACTATTTGACTTACTGCAGCTAAAGTATGGAGCATTTGCTGTTTGCATAAGAAAAGAAATTATTAAATACCAGGGAAAATAGACTTCAAGCAATGTCCTGTGGCCAATTCCTACTTTATCTGTAGAATACGAGAAAGGAGATTATAGTGCAATGGGTTCTTTGGGATGTCAGATTAGTTTCCACAATCCTGAGACCCTGCTCTGATATTACCCAGTGGCTATATTTATTTTATAATTAAGAATTCACACGGACAACACAGTGACGTGATTGCTGGGGGGCGGGGGTATAAGGGGACTAAATGGCAATGGGGAAAAAAGAAAATAAAACTTTAAAAAATACAATAAAAGAGGAATTCAAATATGATTTTATGGAGAGCCATAGGGGACATTTTCCAAGAGCAATGAAAACAGCAGCTTTCATAGTATTTTCTGCTTAGAAATGATTTTGTCTGACCATAATGTCCCTTTTATCAGGAATCAGAACAGGGTTTTATACTATAAAATTCACCCTGAATTTTAGCTTTATTGATTTATTTATCTTCAGGATATTTGTTCTGTTAACAGCGTACGCATTTTGATTGTTGGGGAACAGGAGTCCCAACATGGAGCCACGCACCTGCGTCTGCTGAGGGCCAATGTCCATCCTGTCCAGGAGGTTGTTCAGGAACTCGGTCACGCTGGCCCAGGGGTAGATGCTGTTGGAGCCGTCCAGCACGATGACGATGTCCAGCTGGGTGCTGCACTCTGCGGTGGGGGGTAGAGAATAGCCCCTCTATCAGTCTCTCTGCAGAAATGTCATATTCATTGTGGTTCTGAGGGTTAGAAGTACCAAAGCGCAGCAGAATGGGTTGAGCACGGAAGCAGTCGTTTGTTATTTATTCCTTTCCCCGGCGGGGCCGCTGTGGCACATCCCCACCGAAGTGGGGCCTGGAACGCGGTGGGGAGAGCAAGCCCGCCACACACACTGGCGAGGGCGGGGGGGCTGTCTTTTCAGAGCTCCAGGCTGTGGCGCCGGGCTGAAGGAAGCCCACTCTAAGGCATTTACTGCCGCCGCACCAAGGGGACACGTTGCTGTCACCATCAGAGAAAGCAGTGTCAAGAGTGAAGGTCACGCTCATCGCACCCAGCAGCGGCGGGGCCTGCAGTTCTTGCCCAGTAACCCGCATCTCTCCCCCACCCTAGGGAACACCGTACGAGCTGGCTTCGGAGCCGCCCTCAGGATGGATTTTATACAACAACTCTCATTCTACGTGTATGTTAAATGAGGTCACTAGCCACCACGAGACTTGCCCTTTAAACAAAGACAATGTGACAGCTTTAGCTATGGTGTTTAGACAGGACTCTGTAAAGGTCGCTTACCGTAACGCCAATTCCAAACAGAAGAGGTGAGGTTTGGTTATATATTGGCAAAGCAAACATTTACCTAAATTGGCAGTGCTGGTAGCTGAGAAAATAGTTCGGGCTCTTCGGCGCGCTCCGGGGCGCGCCCCTGTCTCAGCAGCGCTTACGCTTGCAGTAGGAAAGGGCATGGGATGAAGCCGTACCTTGCACAGGGAGCGATGGAGTTCACGACCTGAAAGGCGGGGCTGACGTCAGAGCAGATTCCCGTCGTGTAGTGCAGGTGTCCGCATCTGTAGGCGTACAGGGGCCCACAGGCCTTTTAAAGGTTAAAAAAAGGTAAGAACCATAGGATTAAAACGTGTAAGAACAGGATTGACAGAGACTTACAGTGATAGCATTCCTGGTTTATTTATAGCTATCATGACTCTCTGCTTCCTTACCAGAAACCCTCCACTGGGGTTGGTGACCAACGTGGACCCAAACGTCATGTTCTCCTTTACTTCTGTGACATTGGGAATTGATGTATTAACTGAAAATAGAGGAAAAGTATATGAAGGTGGAAAACAAAGTGACATCATCTTCTCATTAAAACATTCTGTTTGCTTTGCTCATATCATAGCACATTCTTCTCGTTCAGATAAACGGTCTTCAGAGTGTGATTAAGGGATCCGATGGACAAGCCAAGGCTGAAACATGGCGGCCGTCCAGGATCCTAGTCTGGGTCTTCGTCCCAAATAGTTTTGCTGAACTGTGAAAGAATGCAGAACCATCAGAGCAACTGGATTGTGGGATTGGCTTTCACACATTTTTGCTAATTAAATAAAATTTTTAGTCTTGTGATATTGTGGATATGATATGAACTTACACAATTTTCTTACATATTATATCAACATGTTAGAAGTGACCAGTGGTGAGACATGACTTCTGGCAGGAAGAAGGGAAATGGACAGAAGGCCAGAAATGAAAACTCAAATACAATTTTTTTGACCATTAATTTTAGCTTCACGGAGATATCATGAGGGTTATGAAGAAAACTGGAGCAACATTAGAGCAGCGATCAGGAAGTTTGAATTAAAAAAAGAAGAAGACACGGGGAAGGTACTTTTTGACATTCCAAATAGGAATGTTGGGTCCTAAAGCATGCCAGCTGACAAAATTGGCAAGAAGTTCTACTTATTCACATAAAAAAAAAAAAAAGGCTGGACAGGAACAGCAAAAGTCCCTAATCCCTGCTTCGCAGAGTGTGGACATATTTGAAAGTGGCAAAATTCAGCTTCAAGAAAGATTTGTCTCATTGCTCATGCCTAAAAGTTTTTCCTACCTTTAGACTGTCTATATATAGACTGAGCAAGAGGAATGGAAGCAGAGATTCCTGAGTGTCATACCAACGTCTAAATCTGAATGCTGGTCTTTGTCCCAGAGTTTAGCCTGACTTGCTATAAACGCATCTGCGCTCTAATCTGCGATGGTCTGGGATAGTGTCATGGACGAGGGGTTTTTTGACTACAGCAGGAGCTTTCCTGCTGGTCCTGACGTGGCTAAAATCTCCAGCTAATATAAAACTCTGTTCAGTTTCCAGTAATGGCGGGGCAGCCCCTGTCAGAACAGCTGTTGAACACATAACATCCACAAACTCCAGGAAAAGCCGCCGTGATGTATAAAACAATCATCCGTAGGCAGCGGAAAGCAGCCGCGAACAGGCAGGAACCAGAGGGGAACCTGCGCCTGTGAGAAGAGATGAGCAGTGGGTGAGTTTCCTGGTTTTGTGTTTCTTTGTTTGTTCTCCCGAAGGGAAGGCTCCAGTCAGTGGCTAAACCTCAAAGAGAACTCTTTCAGTCTTGAAAGAAGAGAGGACAGAAATTGGGGCAATGATGGCAACTGGGAGGTGGGGGAGGGGTGCTCCCTGGAAAGCAGAGACTCTGGCGCGCGCACGTGCATCCTGTCCACATTCGGGGGTGACGGGCGCTGCATGTGTGCAGGGTAAACTTCAAACGGCCAGCCTCCCACGGAAGCTTGGAAACGGAGGTCAGCCAAGCAGACTGACTGCGAAAACAAAGCGTTAAGACTTTTCAAAGCCATTGAACATCTAGATCTTCATACTTACAACTCAAAAGTATAATCCAGGACACAATGCCAAATCACTACACGTCAGAAGACACAGAAAAGTGTGATCCCACTTCAAGAGGAAGAGAGTAAACGAAAAGTGATATTGAGATGCTGCGGATGTTGGAATGATCAGGAACAGATATTAAAGCAGCAATTATAACGATGCTTGTGAATGTAAAGGAAAAAATGTCCATAATAAACAAACAGGAGATTTTTTTTAAAAGGAGAACTAAAAAATACAATATTTGAAATAAATCTGCAGGTTATGAGTCATTTTCATGGTCTTTAATGTTGTTTGGAATGTGGACAGGTTTCAAATTCCTGAATAGTCCAAGTAGGAATTTGCTAGTCATGTTCTAACTACAGTGATGATTCTATGCAATACTTTATTTAAATATAAATTTACGTTGTTCTCTTCTCTTTGAAAACTTTGACCTACCATATTTTGCTGTGTATAATGCACACTTTTTTGCCCAAATTTTTGAGTGAAAAATAAGGATGTGCATTATACATGAATATAATGATTACATACCATGGGCATAATAATGGGGTATAATAATCCCCTGTTTAATGCACACAAAACCGTGGGTGCGCATTATACACAGCAAAATGAGGGATATTTATTACAATTCTCCTTGTGCTGCTTTCTTTTCAAGAACAAACAGTATGTTAACTTTTGTGGGGAAATGTGATGGGCAGGTATATTTGGAATAGTTATTTCATGTCAGCACTGGTTTGCAAAGGATGCTGAACAGCAGGGGACGTTAAAAGCGACAAAACTAGTAAGATCTGAATCTATGGATATTTTATAATGAATTTCTAGAGCACATGAAGGGCAGCGGGAATCAAAAGGTCCTCTTATATAAATGTGAATGATAAGAACTGAAGGGTGTTTATAGGTTACTGTGAACATTTTCTTGAGTTGGTTGAAACTTGTTTTCGGGGAGAGTACTGGAAAAAATGTAGGACCAGGCCGCAGCGTTTCGACCTTCCCTACCTGGTAGATGCAACTTGATGCAAGGCGATGATTCCCCTCTGCCAACGGGACACTTGTAGACGTCCCCGGTCCTGTTCCTGGGCTGGCCAGCTAGCGGAGAGCCGATGAGCACCCTGAAGTTAGACCACTCTGTTACCACTCGTGAGCGGCACAAGCGCCCCGTTCCCGTCATGCTATGGCTACCCTGAGACGGCGGCCACGGTGCCACACGCACAGTCAGATGGTCGCCCTCTGTTACCAACTTGATGTTACCAAAAATGGGCAGCGTGTCGCCTCCTCACTGCAGAGTGACGTGAATTTTAAAAACCCCATGAAATATAAAGGAGAGAGAGCTCAGAACACTTTTTGATTTTGTTTTATATTACTTTATCGTAGTTTTTAATTGAGGGGCTGGAATTATAATTACCAGTTAAGCCTGGGGCTGTGTTAGTTAATAAAACACACATGGAAATATGACTGAGTTTTTCTCATCAGGAACAGATCATTTACGAGAGAAGTTAGGAACTATAAACATTTCATCATCAAAGATTTAACATTAGTACACGCTAGTTTGTCAGCACTTAGAAAACAAGGATTGTTATGAGACCCAGGTTAAAATCATTCATGTGTTTTTAGACAGAATTTTTAAAAAATCACTCGTATAATAATGGAAAAATATGATGATTTATTGTAGTCTTAGAGAGCCATTCAACAAGGGAATAAGATGGACGCATGCGGCGGATGGGTAAGATGCTTGGGTGGCCTCACAGCTCCTGACGCATTGCTGCTGAAGTAGTTATGTCCGCAGACGCAGACTGCTAGTAGCAGCAGTTCCACGGACACAGGCCGCCAGTAGCTGACGGACCGCAGTGACGTGCCGCAGGCTGCCCCGGGTACCGGAACGGTCTTAGCCTGCGCCTTCACCAGTGTCTCGGAGGGAGACACAGAAAGCGCGAAGGCACGCAGCCAGCACACCCACATGCCCGCCGGGGCCTGCAGAAGCGTCTCGACATTCTGGGGAAAGGATGCTAAACAAACTAGTTAAAGTTTATGTAAAAACCTATGTAAATAACTTCCCCCGACTGCATGTTATTGTGGACATCACAGGATGTGGAAACTCGACTTACTGGGAATTCGTGTGAACACATGACAGGGGATTTCATTGACAGAAAGCACCCGGGAGGCAACAGGGTATTTTAGTGCCAAAATGCTAATGTGACCGCAAGCTCGTTGCTGGAAATAGATGCTCCGGCCCAGGAAAGCGAAGGCCCCTCTGCGCGCCACCTGGCCGGGCAGTGTCTGGAATCTCCAAATCAAGGGGCACAGAGGTGCAATGGAATGTACTGAGAAGACTGTGACTCATATGGCGGAGCGTCTGGCGATTTTGCCCGACCGGCGATCCTGGGGGGGTGGCGGGGCTGCTTAGCACCGGAAAAAGCGTCTTAGGGAGGCTGAGAAATTACACAGGGGTGTGGGAGGGCATGGCGCACATTTGAAGATATTTAAGTATTTCAGAGTCCATCATACTGAGAAGGGATGGGACTTCTTTCGCGCAGGTCCTTTGAGTGAAGCTAGCGTTAATGGAAATAAGTTTTATAACAATTATGAATATTGAATGGTTGAACAGACTCCCTAAGTCATAGTTACAAGGTGTTTGAAAAGCCATTTCTGATATGAATAAATAACCATAAAAATATTCAAGCGCTTTAATACATAATTCTTACTTCTGGGAAAATGACCTAAATTAAGGGGAAAAGCTTAATGCATAAAGATAATGCTCAAAGTGTTATACATAGTCATAAAAGATGAAAAGAACTGTAATCAACAGCAAGAACTAATTAATTATTGCAGGGTCATTCTACAGGATATTGTACAATCATAAAAAAATAACAGGTGATGATAGCATGGTAGGATTCAAAATTATTTTTAACCCAATGTGAAGTAAAACCTACCTCATTTAATGATAACCTATGATTTAATTTAAAGTGAAATGTACCAAATCATATTCAACATACTCATTACAATAGCAACGACAATCACAGCTGCCACATAATGACTTGATGCCACGTTCCAGACACTGTTCTGACTTAATTTTCTCCAGGAAATATAAGCTCTGAGGCCAGACTCCATAGGTTCAGATCACAGCTTTGCCATTTACTTAGCTGTATGGCTTAAGACAAGTTGGTTCCTCTTGGTGCCTCAGTTTCTTCATCTGTGAAATGGGAAGAATAAGAGTAGCTACCTCACAGGACCACCATGAAAATTAAATGATAAAGCAGGTAAAGTGCCTAAAAAGGTATTTGGCTCATAGGATGTGCTATTTATATCTTAGTTCTTCTTCTTCTTCTTATATCTTTTTCAGAGGATGGAACAACTATATTGATATAAAACATAGATTAAAATGGAGCCCACTAAAAACATAAATTATATTAAGAAGGTTATGGTTAGGTGTTTTTGCCCCCTGCATTTTCAAAGCTTTTTATAATGTGATTGATTATATTACTTTTATAGTTAAAACATTTTAAAGAAAAGTAGTGAGCCCACTGTTATGGGAAGTCTTGAAGTAGAGGCTCAATAGACTGATTGCTGTTTACCGAGAACATTCTGCAGGCTTGGCATTTTTGCCAGGCCCTGGGGATATAAAATGGATAAAATACAATTTTTAGGTTGTTTAAACTTAGAGGGGAAGCAGATCTACAATATAAATGTACTGTTACAATACTGAGGGAGTCTGAACATCACCAACATCTCAGAAGCAAGAAAGAACACCGCTCTTTTGAGATGTTCAAGTAGCTCCCTGTCGTTAGAGTAGACATTGTGTCTGGAAAGGGAAACAGGGCTCTGAGCATGACCGTCCTCGTCGTCTACTTTAAGAACGTGAGGTTTATTTTTATGGAGAGGGAGGCCGTAACCACTGAAGCTTTCAAAGAGGGATACAACAAGAGCAGCTTTGATCTATAAGAGTTATCTGCTTACAATGCTGTGAATAAATTCAGGAAAAGGGCCAAGTAGCCTCAGCGAGTGAAGGCGAGAGTTCCATTACCCAGATGAGAAAGGAGGGCCTGAATTAAGGAAGCAGAAAGGAACCAGTTCTTGAAATTCTTAGGATAACAAGCTGTCACTGCTTGCGTTCCTCCCAAGTGGACCCTGGACGAGGACTTTGGCACAGGTGGCTTTCTGGGAGGCGATTCCAGGAATGCACAAGCGTGGAGAGGGGGACGATGGCGGAGAGAAGGAAGAAAGGCCTGCGAAGAGTGCAGACGGCTAAGAACTTCTGCACGCGTCCAGGCTCAGCGTTGCCGAGAGACCCCAGGGGACACAGACCAGCATGTCCTGAAGCCCCAGGAATCAATGCTGCCCCTTAAGAGAGCAGAGGAAGGAGAGAGCTGGAGGCTGATGCTTAGGGGAAACAACACTCGACATTTTCATGAGCGAAGAAAGGAAACCAGGGGGAGTGACCTAGGGGAAGAGGGAGAATCAGGCCCGGTGGTGTCACAGAGGCCAAAGAAGGAAAGGGTGTCGAGAACGGGAGCCCTGAGGGCAGGGCCAACTTCCCCACCAGTAATGTGGGTGACAACGAGGGGGACAGGCCAAGGCACTTTAGTGGGAGCTTCTTTTCATTAGGCAAACCATGCAGTGGAGTTTAAATGAATGTGGAAGCAACATGGGCACAGCTAAATGATGGTGAGAAGGCACAGGGAACAAGGGAAAGGCTGGTGTCTGCGAGCGGAAGGGGAGTCCCTGAGCAGGTAGAAGGGGTAGACCTGGAAGACCAGGCCGCCTTAGAAATGGGGAGAGGCCACGGTTCCCGACGCAGGGCTCTGGCTGGCGGGTGTCCGGAGGTTGTCAGTGTGGCAGATGGTTCGGAGTGTGTGCATCTTTGTGCTGTCACGTTGTCTCTCACTGAGGCAGAGTCTACCTTTGCTCCTCTTGAAACTGGGATTTGCTTGCTAAGTAGAATGCAAAGGAAGTCGTGCCGGGCTTCTGAGGCTGGGCCTGAAGGCGTGGCGTACTAATGTCCCCATTGGTGGGGATCTGTGAGCAGGACGCTGTGAGGGCGCCCCGGATAGCCTCATGGAGGCGGAGGGGCCGCCCGGCGCGGAAGGCCTGCGGGCGCTGCCCGCGGGGACCGCCACACGTGGGGGTCCAACCGCCTCGGCCTCTCCGCCCCGAGCGGAAGCACCAGGGGTGTGCACCTGTGTGCCCAAGGATTCGCGCAGTTTCCTAGGCGTGAATCTTGAAAAACAATGAACATTGTGGTTTTAAGCCACTAAGTTTCGGGGTAATCTGTTATGCAGCAGCAGCTAACTGAAGTAAAAAGGAGAATAAAGTTCTAATCTCATGGTTTCCCTCCTTCCTCCCTCCCTCCTTCTGGTGAACACATTTGCTGTGCTCATCCGATAATGCGGCAGGAGAGGCGGCGGCTGGCGGGCTTGTGGAGAGCGACGAAGACTTACTGACGAGGCCCACATAGCTGGCCAGGCAGCCCCGGGACAAGACGAAGACGCGGCAAGTCACAGCCGGCCGGGGGTGTTTTGGAAGGCGTCCCGACGGCAGATGGAAGGTAGGCCTCCTAAGGCCCTTCAAAGTCGAAGTTTCCATCGTCTGAATAGAACGAATTGTAAGTGTGTAGAGAAGAGCTGACTGGTGGGAAAACACGCGCTGTTCGCTTGGGGATCAGCTCAGGAAACCAGTGAGAAGGGCGCCCTGACCAGCCTGCTCACGGTAAAGCGACTGTGGGTTGTGGGGCGGGAGGAGGGGTGCCGTGGGCAGCTCGGGCGGAAGTGTGGGGCTTGCTGAGCGAAGGCTGAGCTGGAGCCTGGTTGGAGCCACACACTGGGCCGGCTGAGACTGGCTGGCGGCGGGCTCTGAAGGGCAGGAACAGGCTGGGGTCTGCCCGGGGCTCCCAGGACAACAGGAAGCCCTAGAGCATGGAGCTCCCCGGAAACAGCCTCACACAGCGACCGGGGCCACGGCCTGTGGCGTGTTCTAGGTAAGTGACAGCGGAGGCTCAGAGAGTGGCAGAGAAGCAGTGGGTCGCGTGGGCACACGGGGCTTGGAGGCTGGGACCCACAGCGAAGAATGGGCTAACAGGACACAGCTCATAAAACCGTTCCGTGTATTTTCCTGGGGGCCGTTCCGATGCCAAGCGCACAGCTCTGGAAAGCTCAGGTCTGTCACCACGTGACGCTCTGTGAGCCGCACTCTTCCCAGGCCGCGGGAAACAGCCCAGGCCTGAGGGGTTATCAGCACAGCGTTGATGGAATTTCAAGAATCTCCAACATTCCCAATTCCCATGCGTTTGCTCTTTTTTCTCTCACAGAACTTACCACATTCCGACACGTGCTATATAGCCTACCAGTTCATTACGTTTATTATTTATCTTTGTCCCCCCTTTCCCCAATAGATTATAAGCTCTGTGATAGCAGGGATTTTCATGTTTTGTTCACTCATACTTGTATATCCTTGGTGCCTGTCACAGCACCAGGTACAAAAGAGGCCTTCAATGACCACTTATTAAATGAATGAAGTAATGCCTATGTCAAATATTCTAAGAATCTAAATAAGGCAGAGCTGGGAATCGCAGACTCATGGGACCAGCGCTCTGATCGGGAATCTTTGTTTCCGTTGCAGAGGCTACATATTGTGTGTCAGCCGATGCCATAGAAGCCTCTGCACAGCACGGGACACGTTTCCACAGGCCAAGGTTCCAGAGAGGCCTCGACATTCAAGGACACAACCAGCTGGAAGTCAGAAGGCTGGGCTGCCCCATCCTGGCCCTATGGCATACTTTCTGCATTAACCCTTTGGCAATTCATTCGCAGTTTCCTGTTTAGAAAATGGAGACGATAAGAGTGATAGATGCCCAAACACTCAGGGTCAACGGGAAGACCCAAGGCCTCTTGCTTCATGAACTATGGATATTGCTATTTTAAAATTTAATGCAAGCTTGCTTTAACTCATCGCACATTATTTCTATTAGATTTCTTTTCATTTGAAATTATTGTAATGATTTGTCAGCAGATTAAGAAGATTAAAGAATGTTCTGGATCTCGTTACTGATCTCTTAGATCAGTAACTCTGAGATCATTGAAGCGAGCAAAACATTGTCATAAAAAGTTCCAATTATAATAAAATTTTGTAAACTGGGAAACATTCGCTCGTCGTAATAGTCATTATGACCATTATTATATTTATTATGTTTATTTGAAGAGTAGCTGATCTCTGATGACGCTGTTTCATGTTTATGTTTTTTTCACTGTAGAAAACAGCCTCCTGGAGATTGTTGTCTCATGTTTACGTTCTTTCAGGAACACTCTTGTCACCTAACCCTTTGCTGACGTCCAAGCCAAGTCTCTCTCAACGTGCCAAGCAGCCCCTGCCAGCCAGGTTTTGAAAAATAAATGGCCCAAGTGTTTGGTCCCCGTAGAGGCTGCAGCCCTATTGTGGTCTCCTGGGCTGCTGGGCTCTCGGCCGTGACAGGCACACGTGTGGGGACGAGGGGAGCCGAAGGACTGACAAGCTTGGCAAAGGGAACGTTTCAACTTCAAAAGATAGTATAAGCAATGTCAAAGAAATATTATACTAAAATAGGTAAGAGAAAATTGGATAGAACCTTTAAGAGGGCTTTTTGCTGCGAGCTTGAGTAGGCTTTCTCTGAACCACAGGTACATGGGAAGCTGGCCGTCAGTCCGCGGAGGCCCCTGGGAAACCTTACCTGGTGCACCGCGGGGCCTCTGGGGAAGGGCCTGAGACCTGCAGGCGCTGATGTGGATGCTGGCCGGACAGGCTGGGGCCCTGCCTGCATCCTGGAGCTCTACTGGGGGAATCCGGGCCGCCGAAGTCATGGACGCCCCCAGGAGTGGCGGTGGGAGGACCAGGGGAAGGGGGAGCCCGCATGTTCTGGCGGAAGGAAGCAGAGGGCACGGGACGGGGGGCCCACATGCCACCGGGTGTTCTCCCATTTGGCTCAGACCTCGCCACACTGCTGACGGCCACCGAATCTGGGAAACGCATGCGGCGCTCAGCGCATTTCAGTTTCTTCTGTTCAAAACAAAATTACTAAACCAATTATGCTCTTTGTGATTTTTCTCTGAACCACATTGCAGTTCCGTGGTTGCTCTGCCTCATGCTCACTCTAATGAACAACAGCTGATCTTAATCAGAGCTGCAATGCGTTCTGTGCTGAGAAAGTGTGGCTTCTGAGCTGAAGACATAAAGTCACCCTTCACAGTAAACTTCTGAAAGGTAAAGGGCTATCAGTACGGCTCTTCTGTTCATTTCTAGTTGTTTCAAAATAATTAAAGACAGGCTTTTCCAATGCACAAATTACACTTGTAATGGCGCCAACACTACTTCTTTCTCAGTTGAATTTAGCCAAGATGTAAGATGCACTCAGGATGATTTTTCAGTAATCTGAGGATGATACGCTTCCAAAACATGAGCTGTGAATACGATTTACAAAGGTCCCTACCTCTGGGGAAGAATAACAGAATTCGTGTTCTCCCAAATATGCCGATTATTCCAGAGTCCATTTCTCCAAGTAAAGCTGCACCCTATCTGATTTTATAAACACTCATAGAATATCCAAACAAGTTTCTCAAATTCATTTCGCATGACCAGTGCCTGGATCTCTTTGGAACAATATGCTGCTACATGCCATCCCTTAAAGGCTTGGACATTTGGATTATCGTAGTCTGCTTACTCTTAAATTCACATTGCTTTTGTTGCCCTGATATATCACACCCTTTTCAATAAAATCATTGTAAACATGGAATGTCAAAATGAAATTAAAGCATCTGTCATCCACATACATTCAAATGCTCACAAAGCCTCACACACGTATTAATAAGGAAAGTGTGATACTGCAAACATAGTTATTATCAACATTTACTTTTTAATATAGTTCTAATAAAGAAAAAGCACTAGAGTGAGTGTGGAGAGACTTGAGTTCTATTTTTACCTCTGGCCCTAAGTAGCTACATTTCCCTAGGGGAGTAAGTTGTTTTCAAAAACCATTTTATTAAAATGAGAATGACATACTAAGCTGTACATACTTAATGTATACAACTTGATGAATTTAGAGACAAGGATGCATCTGCAAAACCATTCTCACGCTCTATGCCATAAACAGATCCATCACCCCCAAAGGTTTCCTCCTGCTCTATTTAGCTATTGTTATTGTCATTGCTACTCGTATTATTATATTTTGTGATAAGAACGTGACATAAGAGATCAGGTCTGTGGTCAGGAGGGAAAGGAGGCTTGCGGGGGCGGGGGGTAGCAAACTTGCTGAAAGGCATCATGTGCACAGCGACAGGCGGTAACTAGGCTTTTGGAGCTGATCACTTTGTAGTATATACAGATGTCAGCTTCTAACATTGTACACCTGATGGTCATATCGTTTTAAAAAGTCATCGTATCTAAAGTGAACTTATCCAACTTTACAGTGTTTAAAAGTATATAAAAGAAGTTCAGTAAGGTTCATTATAAGTAGTAGACCAAACTCAGCAGCTCAGTAAAGCACCAAAACAGAAACCCAATGTTATGTTGCTGCAGCAACAGCCACCTTTGCAGAGACAGCACCTCATCTGCCTCCCAATCCTCTTTGCAGAATTTCAGCTACTTGCAAGTGAGAGCAGCGCAGGAACTCTTGCCATGAAAACATCGTTACAGAACGACAGGCTGAGGATCTTGGATAAGGACCTTCCTGGAGGTCAACCCAGGCTTCACGCACATCACTAACCACTTCCTTCAATATGGCCAAGGAAGCTTTCTTTTTTCACTTTGTTAGTTTCCATCACCACATGATCGCACTGCAATTCCTACTATAAGTGACTCATTCTGTTGAGGTCTCATTTTTTGGAACTGTCCTGCCTGGTTTCAGGGACTGTAGCCTTGCCGACAGGCAAGAGGACCCCCAGGCTGGAGCTGAGCAAGGAGGCCTTGGGAAAACAGGTCACCGAGGAGACAAAACCTGTCCCTCTGTCAGGGGCGCAGCCCCTGCCTCCCTCACATCGCCCTGCTTGGCCCCGGAGGATGGCTGATTAGTCAATGACAGGTAAGACCCCTTGACGGCAGGGGCAACCGAAGACAGGCACAGTCACATAGGGGCCATCAGGGAAGGACTTGGGGGACACGGAGAAGGGGCAGAAGACTCTCACTCCTTGGCTTTGTCATATCCAGAGTCCTCATTCTGTCTGAAAGAAGTTTCCTTTCCTCTTGGCTGCTCTGCTCCAACTGCCTGGCTCAGACTTGGAAAAAATACTAGAGGCAGGTACAGCCCTAAACTGGATTGGGCGGCCCCCGGAAGAAATCAGGCCTAGAAGTAAATTACACTCCTTGAAGCATGCTTTGTTTCTCCTTCAAGCTGTGATAACCGGCTCACGCTGGGAAGGAAATTTACATTATTCATGGACCTTGACACTAAACCATTCGGCACCGTTATGTTTACTCTCATCTCAGAACCAAGCAATTTCATGTTTCCTACCATTTGTGTTCTTCAAAACATTACCTATTCTCTGTAAAATTAACATACCGATGTAATGAGATCACCTGTACATTCCTGCTACCTGTCCCCCACTGATAAGCCTTTCAGTAAAAGCCACTGAGCACCAGGGCTTGGGGCATTCCCCCTTAGAGGGAACCGCCACCCCCTTTCCTTGACAGGCAATCGGTGTCTGGAACGATTCTTCCATCTCTGGTGAATCCGGGGCCTTCGCAGGCTGGGGTCCCCCATGCTCATTCAGGAAACAAACAGTAGCCGAAGAATATTTTTCATTACCATGTAAAAAAACTAAACAACAATAACAACATGTGCTGGCTTACCATTTTCCTTCTTCATTTTCATACTGCTGAACAGTGTACCCGAACATGTCCTCCACAGGGCCACTGAACGTCATGGAGTTCTTCACGTCAACATTGAATGATACGCAGAAGCCGAGAACAACTGTAAGAGAGAAAACAAGGTCCGGTGACGCTGAGTTTGCTAAGGGTCCACCATGTTTCAAATTATGGGAGGCATTCTTGGGGTTACCAAGAGAGCAATGGCGTGCGAAGCCTGAGGACTACAAGAAAGTTCTATGATAGTAACCATATGTGGCCCAGAAATCAATGTAATGGCTTTGAAGAGCGCAAGTGTTGACATTCAAACACAACCCCACAGAAATGTAGATCTGTGCCATTCCTAGAGCTAAAGGTTTCTGTGTGGGAAGGTGCAGACATGCACACTCACAAATAGCAAGGCAGCTACCGAGAGTTTTCTAGCAGGGCGAGCATCACAGCAAACGTGGCCGCCAGGGGAAGGCGCACGGCTCTCTCCTTGAGGGTTGACCCCAGAGGATGCGAGAATCACCATTTAAACCATGGGGCATGGGGCGGGGAGGTGGCGGGTGGGGCAGCTTTCTCCCTGCTGCTTCCTGAGGGAAGGCGAGGGTTGTCTCCACCCAGAGAGGGCTTCCTGTGCAGGCCTGAGATACGCTGTTTCCCGGATCAAGCCATGGGTGGAAGGGGGGAAGCTCACACTAAGGCACCGAAGCCCCCTACAGTGCTGGGGTGGGGGCCTCCTCACGGGCCGCCGCTGAGATGAAATCAGACGCGGCAGCTATAGCTTACTCAGCGCCTGGCACCTGCTAGGATCAATGGGGGTGGATTCTCTTCAGTTCCCTTGGAGTTCAGGCAATGGAAACCTGTTATGAGTGAGAGTGCCTCCGGAAAGCGTTCTGGATGGCGCAAACCCCAGGTCCGGCACTGGTTTTTGAAGTGTACTTGTGACACCCCAAAGTATTCCCCTCCCCGGCGTAGCTCGGAATTCCTCCCTCAGAACAGTCTCTTATAAGTCACAGAGCAGCAGAAGGTACGTTCAGAGGTGGTTAAATCCACTCTCCTTCATTAAAACCAGGGTGTAGCTATAGGATCCTGAAAAAGTCCTTCCTTACCCACTGTATACTCTCCTATACATAAAGTCTAAATCCAGACTCTAATTCATTCTACGTTCTACTTCACAATCTTCAAATTTTGGTAAAAATATTAAGTGTTTCTTTGGTGCACAGAATTGTACTTAACTTAGAGAAAATTTTGTTCTTAAAAATTATGTATATCTATTTATAAAAATATATACACTTAAATACACCCATTTACAAAGTCTTCCTTAATCTCCTCATCTGAAAATAATCTTTAAACTAGTATATTTCCCTCTTTTATTTAAAAAAACTCTCACAGAGGTAATTATTAAGCACTATTTACATTGTATTATAGCTCACTGTGTGAGATTTTTTCCTTAGGCTAGAAAACCATTTTTTAATTTATATTTATTTTTTAAATTTACTTTTCAATGATGGTTGGCATACATTATTATATTAGTTTCAGGTATACAACATAGTGATTAGGTATTTATATAATTTATAAAGTCATCACCCCAATAAATCCAGTACCCACCTGACCCCACACGTGGCTATTACAATATTATTGTCTGTATTCCCTATGCTGAAGTTTACGTCCTCTGACTATTTTTAAAACTGACCATTTGTACTTTTTAATCTGTAAACTTTTTCATCCAGCCCCTACTCCCCTCCCATCTGGCGATCATCAATTTGTTCTCTGCATCTACGACTGGAAAATTCTGCAAAGCAGGGGTTTGCTTACTCATCTCTCTTATCGCCTCTCAAAATAGCACAGCTTCTCGTGTGCAGACGAGCAACGATGGATTAGCAGGATGGAAGACAACACGCTGAAGTATGAAGGGTGCCGGTTGTAGTTAGAGGTGAGCCCCTAACAGTTTCCTCTTTGTAAAGGGAAGTTTCATGAAAGGTAGAAACTTTCAAGTGGGCTCTTCATGTGGAGGGGGAGATGTTATTTGGCAGGGAGAAGAACATATGTCCCAAGGATCAATGAGACATACAACGGGACAAATATGGTAGCAAGATCTTAGAGAGATTCAGCCGATTGCATGGAAGATGCCGAGAAGGAATGGATGGTCGGCCCGGGCCCATTTATGTACATTTCCTGTTCATTTCTCAGGGATGATGGCCAACAGCTGGTTACCATCTTGTGCCTAATTGCCTTCCATATAGTTGAAGACAGTTTTAAACACTGCTCACTCTCCACTCCAAAGTAAATAGTACATGCCCCTACCCTTTCCTCACAGCTTTACTTCTATTTTTGAACACTTTAAACAGATTGTTTTTAATATGAGAAACACACAAAATAGTCCTTCTATGGCAGGATTTCTCCACTTTGGTGCTCTTGACATTTTGGGTCAGAAAATTGTTTACTACGAGGGGCTGTTCTGTGCATTGTCGGCAATTAGAAGCACCCTGGCCCCCTCCCGCAGATGCCCCTGAGTTGGGAAGGTCAGAAATGTCCCCAGACAGAGCCAAATTGCCCTGCGATCAAAACCGTCTGTATAGAGGCCCACTCTCCTAGAGGTAAGGGCCACAACCCCACCACCAAAGATTTTGTTCAAAGACGACTGGAAACCAAGGCGGCAGGCGTCTGCATCGTGCCAGAGCTTGCAGGGGCCCGGAACCACAGGCCCACCCAGAGCCCCCGCAACAGTGTCTGTACCCAACAACACGCCCCGGAAGTCGGCGTCCTATTCCGGTCTGAGAGGTGGAGGTCTGTGATACAATACCCCTGTTTCATAATGTTGACTCAGGTAACAGAATGTCCCTACGTGAAAAGCACTCAGCGTCCTTTAGGCAAAAGAGGAAAGGGGTTATCTTTAATCAAGATAGTCGATGTCAGCCTCTTGAAGGATTTTTCCAGCACTTCATTACCTCTAGCACATGCACTCCCAAAGGCCTGTTCATGGCGCCCTGTCGATAGAAGACCAAGGGCCTTCGGCTTCCTTTTTGGGCCCTTTGTTTATTCCTTACCGTTGAGTGGAATGTCCGGGGGTGTGTGCTGCACTTTTTTCATTTCCTGTCCTCAGATTGCTCCAGGCAATTTGCCCAAAGTGATTGTAAATCAGCCTCTTTCATGTTTGCTAAGGCACCAAGGAGCCTCAAGCCCAGGAGATGACAGAAAAAAAATAGTTTACATTTTGTTCTTTTGATTTAAAGGGGGGCATAAACAGTCAAAGCAGCTTCTGGTAGCTTTAGTTCAATGTTCATTTTGTTTTGTGACGTTGTCTTGGCACTTTATGTACCAGAAGTCAAGCAAAATCATACTTATTCTCATTCAAAGTCAAACAAACTCAGAACTGACAGAATGGAGGAGGCTTTGGGGCCCACGTAAGGTGACAACGATGGAAAATAAAACAGAGGCAACAGTCACATGTCAAAAATAAATTCTTGTTTCACATGTACTAGCCAAAAAGATTTTTTTCCTTAACAACAACAATGCTGTGTACCTGCTATGTGTTCCTCTTCACTTGCTCCTCCTCATAGAATTTTCCAGAACCCACCATTAAATCCCGTTATTGTCACCACTGTGCAGATGAGAAGGAGGCCAGGAGGGCGGAGCAACTCGCCCTCACTCCCCCAGGGGTCCAGAGTCATTCGTGGGGGTTCAGTTTCTAGGACTTGGCCCTAAGCCGGGAAGGGCTAGCTGAAGCCGACATGATGAAGGATTAATGAATTAATTTATTTTTAGAGAGAGGGAGACGGAGGGAGAAAGAGAGGGCGAGAAACATCGATGGGAGAGAGCAACACTGATCGGCGGCTGCTGCTCACACACGACTCCTTCAGATATGGTTATATGTGTTTGCTATCTGTCTTTAGGCTGGCAACTGAGGAGGAAGATGAGGTGGTTGGCGATCAAGGGTATCCCTTGGGAGAGATCATTTGGTGCAAATTATCCCGGGCTGGACTTTGAGGTATAAGTCATCTAAATGAGAGAGAGAAAGAGAAGGAGAAATAACGTAGAGCTGTGTAGTGTTTTCTGCTTACAAGCGTTTTCACGTGAATGATGGGGCTGAGCTGGTCAGTACACCGTGGAGGTCAGGCAGGCCAGCAGCCACTAGCCTCGGGGTTCGCAAACCGGACCCCGGAGGGTTCAACGACTTGTCCAGGACCAGGCCGTGCCAGTGGCAGGCCAGGACTTCACCCTTGGTCTGTTGAGGCCGGATCTTAGGGTTTCTGTGGCTGCAGTACTGTTCAGTCAGTCAGATTAATAAGATGACTCAGGTCCCCAGAACCCTCAGCCGGCTCCTGAGAGCTTTAACCGTCCTGTGGCTTTGGAGTGTTTGAGGACAGGACCAGCAGGCAGCCCTGGGGGAGGGAGCCAGGCCTGCGCACCTCCAGGTCAGGGGCCCGGACACGGAAGGCCCCCTCCCCCGGCCCCCCGCCGCCCAGGCTCAGCCGCGGCAGCCTGTTGGCCACGGCTCCTCCGTGACGAAAGTCTGTCTCCCCCAGGGTGGTCTGGAGATTCTGATCTAGCAATATTCGGGTTGGAGTGCTGAGCAGCCAGTGGGGTTTAGAATGTTCTACATTCCAAGCCCAAGGCAAGAGGGCATCAAATAAATGATGATGAGTGATACGCATTAAAATGCTGTTGCATTCTTTCAACAGCCTCCTACATAGGTTTATCCAGTCTAGAAATAATAAGATAAATTAACATTATATTCATTATTTTCTATATGGTGGAATGATGATACAATATTAAGGTTAGGAATAATAATAGTTGTATTATTATGGTTAATTAATGGTTTCTAGAGCAAATTCCCTGGTAGTATAGAAGGATGGTGATCTTTAGCGATACATGAGCGTGGGCTTAAACCTACCCCTCTCATTCGTTTACTTAATTATTCAGATGTATTCAGCTCCTCCACAAACATTAATCAAGTCTTTACCTTGGGTGGAGCATATGCTCGACCCCAGAGATAAAAAGCTATAAAGAGGCAGGACTTCTGTTTTCAGAGCTCCTACAGACTGGCTGGGAGGAAAATACTGCAAACGACTTAACCTCTACGAGCCTCAGTGTATCCTATTTAAAATTAGCTTAGAAATG